ATACACACTACATGATTCAATAACCAAAATGTTTTTTTCGTAGGTTATTTTGATTATACAAAAAAGAAATGCACATCTTCCTAAATAAGGCAAGAAAGCAACCATTTTTGTTGTTAAAAGCACGATTGGTCGGTTACTGTAAGTGCTTACATTGGTGAATGGTAGACTACCACATAATCAAAATTGAAAATAGTTACTTAAACATCTTATGTACTTCATATGTCCAGTGAGCTGTTACCATAGAGCAGTGAAGCAACTTCGCCTTTGTAATCTCTGGCTTGTATTCAAAGGAGTCACGTTACAAGAGCTGTGACTGGCGACCCGTTAAATGCCCGTCCCCCAAATGGATCGGACGGACGCAACGTTAACGACGCGGAATTGAACAGAAAACCGATAAAAGTGTAATTATCGTGAATAATTTGAAAATCGAACTGGAGAGTGGAACTGGGAACTCGAGAGTGCATCAGGGAATTTTTATAGAATCCGAACCCAAACTGGAACTATATTCTCCAGTGACGTTTATGGATTTTCTCGATCAGTGTTTTTCCATTTTATTAGATTTCGAGCGCCCTGAATATTCAAAATAAATTCACATAATTCATTTTGATAAAAGTAATTGGAGTCTTACTTTAATTTTTATGACATATGAGGCTCAGTCCCAATATGAGTATTTCGGATTGCCCCTTTACCCACTTTAAAACCACCACACTATTTTCTTCACATATATACGGAGAATAGCGCAGCAGAAAACACTTACAGATGAGAGGCCAGAACACCATCAAATCGGTTTGTATGGTATAAATTTGATCCTCAGCTCTAAACAACTCTTTACACATTGCAAGGATTAAAACCACTATTTGAACAATATTTGTGAATGATATTCATTCACAAGAAAGTCAAAGATGGAATCGGATGTAAAGAGATGCAAATATTCAGTTTAAACGTAATTAAAATGTGAATACAAATTATTAAGCATCAGGTTGTTTATTGAATTTGCATTATTCAGTACACTTCATGGGATCGTTTTCAAAGCAACATATTCCTATTCAGTTACCAACAAAAAAACAGCACAACCAGTAACAAAGTATTGCAGCCTCCGCAAACAGGTACCATATATGGCAGGTAACGCATGTATGTCAGGAGATTCATCAAATATAGAGAAGGCAGTTGAGTTTCCTGGCCGAACGAATGCGACGCTTTCGCCTAAGTTGTATTCCAGAGTGCCAATCGCAAAGGGCGGATGCGGGGCGGCGGCGCTTTGAAGGGCTGAAGGGCGTTTACGGGAAGAGTCTGATAAAAATATTCTTGACATTTATAGGTTGGGGAACGGCGCGGAAGAAAACAGTTATATCCGTTTATGGAGAGGTCATCTTTGCCGCAGTCATAAAAACGTTCACATTTAGATCCAGAGATATCCGACGCACGAACAACTTGGGTCAGCTGAGAGGGTTGTGAGGTCGGCGAAGGAAAATTGGAGAAAATACAGGAAAAGGATGAGCATTAGTAATAACTTCGAAGTGCGGACAGGGTAGGATCAGGGGGAGATCAAAGGGACAAGAAAAATTGAATTGGAAAAATAAGCAAATCAGCTTATTTGAATCAGATTTGGGCCAGTTTCAAGACCTGATTATAGGAAATGTGCGTAAAACATTTTACTGCATGAATATTTACCGTTCATTATAGAAATGGAAGACTTGGATCAACCAACAGAATACATTCTCAAAAAGCTGGAACATAATATCTTTAAGTATAGATGTGTCGCCTTTTGTACAAAATTGCCATTTTGTTACGAGCAAGACATCAAAATTTAAAAAGAAAGAAAAATGCGTTATAAGCTAATGAATGACACAAATGTGAATGCAAATTAATTTGAAAAGTATTAATAACAGTATTATTAATTTCAAGGCAGAAGAAATCTATTATGTGAATAGAACCCAACAATAAAAACTGTGTTATGTGAGAAATAATTGTATTGTCTACTTTTTCTTGATTTTTATGCGGAATCTTTCTCACACTACTCGAGGTGAACCACCGACTACTCTGAATCTTGCAGGAGAGCTGAAAATGTTCCACCATTAAAGGAAAGGAAGGGAGAAAAACGTGAGAGCATGAAATTGCTAGTAGTCTACAGAATGTGTATATCAGAGTAAGTACCTAACTTGGACGTAATATATTGCTGTCCATGACAAAATGAAACGGGAGAAAATGGCTGGAGAGAAGAAAGTAACCAGAGATAAATGAATATGTGAGGCATCATGTTAAAAATGTTTTTGCAAACGAATGGCTTCAGTGGTGCTGAAAAAGGACTACCAGTGAAATCATCTGCATTAGCTAACTGAAAAATGAGTTTCTTAAAAGAATAGGATGTCGTAAATTAGAAAGTTATTAATAAAACTTAAATGATTATGAGAGAAGAATAACATTGTTTTGAGAAAATTGGAAGCGTTAAATAAATACTAAAATTAAAAGATGATACGATTGCAGTTCCTTAATAAGAGGATAGGAGTGCCTTAATCGCGAAGTGTAGTGGAAGCGGTCAACCACCTCTCAGGTTAAGAAGAGAATGACAGGAAAAAGTACCGGAAGGTGGATCAGAAAACTTCTTCAAAAGCCGTGAAAACAACAAATTACTACACACAAGGGTTGATTTCCGGAGGAATGCGACGGAACGACAATCCGGTACCTCGGAAATAATTATTAAATGCTAATATAAATGTTCAACTATTTCTATTAAATTAATCCTTAATTTGGGGTGCTTTCCAGAATCTAACATTTTAGAAATCAAGCACTGTCTACACAAGTTCCAATCGTGTAGAAAAAGCAAAAATTGTGCAATATTTAGAAATTTTTGCAAATCATATACTGCAAAGTGACATTTGAATTTTCGTTTGCGGTTGGTTTGCGCTATTGGTAAAGATATGGATGAGTCATTGGAAATAAACTTCATTGGTAAAGATATGGATGAGTCAGAAAAGACGTTTTTGAATTTGAAAAAGACGTTTATGAATTTTTAAATACATATGGTAGATAAAGAAGTAATCTAGAACTATTTTAAAGAGAAAATTAGGTGTGTCGTAATTTACGAAGGCAACGAAAGTTTTCACTCGGCTCAAACCTAACTGCGAACTATCCAATGACTCCGGCCGTGGAAGCCTACGAACACGGAAGTTTTCATGTTTTTTTCAATATTTACACTATAGAAGTACGTATTGCGCAAAGAAATCGTTATGATTTAATTGGGTTCCCTTTCTTCTAAAGGAAGATAAAATTATCCATCACCAATTTTCCTGTGAAGCATCGTCCGTGTGGGAAGAAAAGTCTCATGGTAACGTCACGCGACGTCACTTCTGTCTTTGTGAAGTATTCTGATTCACAATTTATGACGGGTGTGCTATGGCTAGTTCTAGAATAAGGCTTAACCTCTGTCATATACGTATTACATATTATGAACACTTCCACATTACATTGACAGGATTACGAAAATATAAAATCAGTAGTTTAGTAAATAGAATTTAAAAGAAAGAAAATAATTATCTTACTGACTGCACAAAAATGTCATCACATGAGATACCGCATTTTGTAGACGTACGAACACTTCTCAATTTCTCCTTAACTCCTCCATTGCAAAATGTAACAAATTGATGCTCTCCCCCGCTCCAATACGGTGTATGTATTTCTTGAATTAACCAATACCTTGCCCTAATCTTGCTACACCCGTGTTTGTTTTTTGTCGAGAGATTGTCCGCCATCCTTCCAGGCACCAATGGGTTGAAGGCCCTAGGTTTGGACACCTACATAATGTACAAAATTTTCACCTCCCTCCCCCGAGGTGGCAAAACCTCTGAAGTCCGGTATTTGTAGGCAGATCTCGGCTAAGGGTTACAAGTACTGAGGTTGGTAATGCGAGAGGTGTATTTCGCACCCCGGGGACAGGACGAATCCCTTTTCAGATTATCGCCGAGTGGAAACCTGAGACCAAGTGGGAATCCGCACGAATGAACCCCGGAGGCCGAGTCAGCTCCCCCCCCCCCGCGGGCTCTAGCGAACAACGGGGGTAACACCCCGTTGAAGAGTAAGAAACACGGGTAGCCAGCTGGAAGCTTCCGATCGTCCACCGCGTTCGGAAGGGACCTGATGCCCTCCCTGGCTATACCCATGCCCGGTAAGAAATACCAATTAAATTTAATTCAATTCTGCCTTATTTTACGTCGCGAGACTCAGGCCATCTCCGTCAGACCACGTAACTTTCGCTACTCTCCTTTTCCCATCTAGCGGATTGATTGGTTTTTAGTGATTCCGGGCGCGTCAACTGCTTAGGTTTATTAGCCCCAGAAGTGAAGTGCATTTTTTTTTCTTCGGGAGGTGGCGGTGATCTTCCCCCACTGGATTCGACGCCGACCTACCTTCGGTTACCGCAATTTTCCCCAACCAGGTCTCCCCAACAGCGAGGCACTGCCCCAGCAGGGATACGCTCTAAGCTCCCGACAGATCTCCCGGCATGTGTATTGCTTGTTTGTGTGTAAGTGTAAGTAAAGAGTGAGTATAGGAAAAGAGGAAGGAAAGACAGCAGGCGGTGCGTGGCCCGTTTGTTAGGGAACTGCTCTGGCATTCGCCTGGTGTTGATTGGAGAAATCACGGAAAACTACCGTTGAGAGCAGCCGACCTCTCGAATTATCCTCCAGACCACTGAATTCGACCTAGCTGGCAAGCTAGTGTCTTGCTACCGATGGGGCTCAAACCTTGGTCAGAGGCACCAGGTCAGACCTCCAGGTCAGAGGCACTGCAGCGACATCAGTTAATGCCCTGTGCCACCTCTCCCGGTCCATCTAGCACACGGGCGATTTGAATTTAGCTCAGAGGCAATCTCAGGCTTGAGGATGTTCTACATGCAGTAAATCTACAACATGGGACAACCGGCTTTACTTCACCGAAAGATTTTTTCTGAGGAAAAGGCAACGGCAAACTCACCTCGCTCCGGGTCCAGGCGCGGGCGTGGGCACCAGCGCCCCTCCTCCTCCTCCTCCTCCGCCCACGCCTCCTCCTCCGCCTCCGTTTCCTCCCGCTGCTCCGCCGTCGCCGGCGGCGCGCGAGCCCTCCTCCATGCAGAGCTGGTCGCCGCGCTCCACGTAGAGCGGGAAGCGCTCGCACGCCATGCGCTCGGGCCACGCGAAGCCGTAGTCGCGCATGAGCGGCTCGCAGCCGTTGCGCGCGCGCTGGCACACGCTGCGGCACGCCGGCAGCGGCGCCTCGTACGACTCGATGCAGATGGGCATGTACACCGAGCACAGGAAGAAGCGCAGGTCGGACGAGCAGCCGATCTGCACCAGCGGGTAGAACTGGTGCACCTGCGACCACAAACGCCGGCACGGGCCATGTCATGAGGCTCAGAAAAACAGAAGAGCACAAACAGTCTGCAATGAAACACACACAAACACACACACACACACACACACATGCCGGCGAGCCTCAGAGACAAAGAGAGAACACAAAATAAATCTAGACATCACATTTTTTTTGTAAAAGCGCTAGGGACGAAAGTATTAATGTTTAAAATGTTCTAATCGTTGTACAATTCACAACCATGATGTAATGAGGGATGTAGTTCTCAGGATTGTGAGGAGAATACACAATTAGTTTGCGGATCTTTCGAAATGTTTTGAATCCTTCATCGGCGCTTACTAATACATTTTACTATCACTCAGCAAGATATCCACGTTCCGACCCAACTCCACATGGAATTACTGCAGCGCAGGGGTCCATCCCGTACCACGTCTAAATCGGGCCAAGGCACCAACGCAAATGTAAAATTTTCTTTATTAAATAAGTGGGGGATTAGTCTTTAGATATAGAGCACCAGAACCGGTGGCGAATAGAGATGAATTTCCCGAAAGGGAACTGAGTGAAAGGTGGCGTCGGGGTCAGCTACAGAATTTGATAGTACAAGCGAGAGCATATGCCCTTGGTCAGGACGTATACCAGCCACTGATGTTTGGAAACGTGTAAGCACGCGCGTATACGCGCGCCCGCACATAGATACATACATACACAAACAAATGAAAGAAAAATATCACTATCAGGATTTGGGTATTAACAATGGTAATGAAAGAATTATGATTGAGGAAATTGTTAATGTGAATCAAATGAGTATTGCACAACAAGAATTGCCGCCTGTGCACCAGCAGCGGACAGAATGTGCCAGAACTAGGGCAGGAAGTTTCACCCTTCCCAAGAATCCCTTTAATATTCACATATTATCCGAAATGGGTGTATACAGACCGAAGTAGGAGCAGAGACGTGTCATACTTCGAATTTTAATCGTTTAGAGTTGTCATGAGCTAACACCACGGGCTAGGACAGGTGAAGTTCGATGACGAGGGCAGTTATTACGTGACTAACTGAATGTGAGATCGCCGACGCTTTAAACGCCATATTTTACACTCCATTTGACTAATGTTCTACTAGTTAACCAGGTACTCTTATCATTAACCATTTCGCGGTATGTATTTGGCATTTGGGATCGATTGTCTGTCTTTGCCGGCTGCAGGGTCCCCCACAGTGGCGGCCGAGGAATTGCAAATCAAAAGGGGCAGCATTTGTACGCACGAACTTTCGCATACATCCTATCTCTTCAAAATATTTCTTGAACGAGGAAAACTACAGCATGTGATGCACATCAGATGTGTACGCATCAGATGTGTACGCAATCGTTGAATAAGACATCTTTTAAGGTGATAACGCAAGTTGCAATTGTGCTCACGCGAAAGAAAGCAATTTAAAAAAAAAGAATTTCCCGCCAAGTTAAAAGAGGCAGACTCTGACGAACAAACCTTTGTAGCAGCACGTTGCCCCCACCCAATTCCCAGTATCTTCCTCAAGCTTCCATTGCTTCGCATGCACCAGCTACGGACGGTCTTGCGATAGTCCACGATACATTTTATCTTTTGCTTAAGCGGACATCAAAAACTAAATTTGTCTTCCAAAATTACGCTGGTGGTATGCACAAATTAAACGAGTCGATTTGTTCATAATTTTATACTTTGTGCACCTTTTCCCGAAGTTTTTTTTTCTGAGGAGGGCACCGATGTCGAGTCCTTAAGGATCAGCCGCCACTGGTTCCCCGCGTTCTTTATCATACAAACGTTCACGGGAATGAATCAAATTACAGTTGTGGGTGCTACAATCTTGGCGTAGAGGTCCAAAAAAACTTGGAGTAAGCATTGAAATTATTTTCAAATGATACGAGTATAACATACCTACAGAAACTCCAACACATATTGCATGTTATGTAAGCTAGCGCTTCCCTAGCCCGGTGCTTTTTTATTCCATCATCTTTGCGCTCAGAGAACACCCCCCCCCATATATATATATATATTTCAAAAGACATATCATTGCCCAATTTTTTGTTTCATCCTTTAGATTTTCACAGATCTTTTAGTATTTCTCTAATAAAAATCGGACTACAGAAATGTAGACGGCGAATATTTTAACAACTTTATCATACACTGCTTTCCCTTCTCACTATTTACATTTGAGTTGTCTGGAAATTTTGAATTTTGAGCTGCTTAATACGCTTTCATTGTGGACTCCATCCCTTATAATTTTCCTTTCCCATTGTATTTAAATGAGTTTAATATATAGGTTTTGCAGAAAATGTATACGAGAATTACTTGACAGTACATTGAACTCAAATACAATGAATCTGTTATGAAAAATGATGGGCATTGTCATAAAATCGTGGCAAATGACACGTATTGTTTTCCAAAACAATATAACATCAATTATTTGAAAGCACATGATTGACTTTCTGCTGCATAAAAGTAGTTGTTGTTTTTTTTTGACACGTGGGGCCGACAATTGAATTATTACACAATTCAGAGCCATAATTCATTTCCCCCCCATATTTTTCAAAGGTTGTGCGGTCTCACACACGGTCGATTAAAACTCGTATCGGTCCCTGACGGTACACGACAGTCAAAATATTGTAGAATGGCACGCCCAAGAAGTGAAAGATTCGAAAATGCTCAATAATCTAGCTGTGTTGGGAATTGACCACAGAACCCGAGAATCAGACTATTTTAACAACAAATACTTGAAGAATTCATTTGATGCTGCCTTTTTGAGCTATATGAAAGCCCAGATCGCCAACAGGCTACACCTTTGCCAACGTTCGGCCAACAGGCTGTAACGAAGACTTTTAAGATTAATATAAATATTTTTCTTACAATTTGTTTTTTGTAATGGGGTCTTGAAATAGTTTTCGGGAACGAAGTTTAATGTAAGAGGGCTTGACGTTCTTGTTCAAATAAAACTACTTATACTTGTATACCGTATAAATCATTGACAGAATTTTGAAACGAATCCGGCGAAGTAACCAAAAATTCTAATGTCTTGTGTGAAAAAACGAAATTACTTACACTTACAATGCACATGCTGCGAAAATGTTGGAAACCAATACTTTCATGAACCAGTACTTTTCGTTTGGTGTAATATCGACATAACACCAAACATAGCTCTGAAAAGACTCTCTTAACAGCAGGCGCGCGTCAAGAATTTTAACGGACGCTGTCCTTTCAGAAAACAAATGAGAAGTACCTAAAGACAGAGTATATGATATCTTTTGCAAGAAATGGTTATTTTTAAATTAAAAGCATGAAATGATTGTTTTTTGTGCGATAGAGATTAAGACAAAAAACAATAGAGATCGTGCAAAATATAATAATTTCAAAAAATCAAGAATCAAGAAATATAACCATTTTCACTACGATCGTATAAAAATGCTTCTATTACGAATTATGATTTGCACCATCTTTGCTCTGCGATTTAATCGAAAACAAGCACATGGTTATGGTATAGTAAAGCAGTGTCCCCATACGAGTTCCTATGTATAACTGGTACATAGTGTTATAATTACTGAATTCAAAATGGATAAAAGCGATTTTAACTTTCCACAGGAGTTGCTCGAATCGTAATTTATAACCTGAAAAATCCAATGGTGTTTACAAAATCTTACCAATAGTTGACAAATTGGTAAACATCTAAGGCAGTTGTTAAGATCAATGATACTGTTTCTCACTTCAATGAAACAGCAAAACGTGTTGCTAACTGCGTCTTAAATATAGGTATTGTGGTGATAGCTAAGTCATCACCAAAACTGATGATGATGGCTAAGCCATCGAAAGCTGCTTTTTTAATAAATAATATTGTTGGCAATGACGACGCATATAATTATTTCATGCATCTTAAATATCCATACTTTCACTCTAAGAAGTAGCTCAATGAGTTTCTTAATATTTGTTGTTATTAATTACATTGTCATGAGTTATGTTAATGAGTTGCAATAGGTGAATGCTCGCTTCCGAGTTTCATCATAATTTATTATGTGATAATCGTTACATTATATTTATATGTTAATGGTTATTGGGAAAATTTGAGGTTACTTTGACGTTAACACATGCTTTATTTTCTTACTTTTGTCGTAACCTACCCATTGTGCTAAAATTCTTTTTCATGCTGCAACTTATGTCAATATAAAAAATAGTTACATGGTAATGGTAAAAGTGGCATTTTGTTTTGCTAGTAGGAAAGGTTGCAAAAGGTCGGCAATCCTGTGAACAAAATAAAATCCCTTTGGCCAAGAGTGTCCTAAACTATTTTCTAAATGGCCTAACTGACTTTCATTTTATTTTAATCCAAGGATACAAATAACTTAATTTGGAACTACGTTACATTACGATTACATGATCGACACACGGCCCATATCACAAACATCTGCATCGCCCTGATGAGATAAATACACGCATGAGCACCTACATCACAAATAGAATGCCAAATATCACATTTCGATGGTATAAACTTAAGAAAAATAATTGAGGTGCTAGCTATTATGGAACAACGCTTTAATGATGGCATATCTGACTCATATAACTCTTTTAGAATGAATTGACATCGAATATGTACTTCGCTTATATTCCTATACCCAATGCTCTATGACACACCGTGAAACTCTACAATATGGTCATGCCATCCCCATGTTCGTCGGTAGATTGTTATAAAAGGTAATGTTTTGAAATCAATAAATTTTATGAGGTTTTGGCTGCCTGCAGGAAGTAAAATGCATTCGCAATGAAGAAGGTCACAGTATGACGGTCTAACAGTCCGTAACACTGCCTAGGACACGGAGTCTGCGAAGAATCCGTTGATTCCGCGCACGGAAGCCATCATCTACAGCAAATTTTATATTCGTGTCGCAATAAGAGGCAAAGTTAAAATCGCCATTGAAATAAAATACTCGTCGATAGTAACAGCAATTAATGAGGACTCTTCAGAGAATTGTGACGACAATCTCTCTCACTCGGAAATGTTGGAATGGCGTCAACGCAGCATCAAAACTGCCACGTTTAAAGCAACCTAAACAGAACGAGTCACAAATGTCCAAAAATACTCTGAAATTCTTATTCCACTTTACGATACTAAAAGTGTTTTTATTTCCTTCTAGAAGTCGTTTGGAAAGGACTTATTGCGAGAACATTTTGGCGACTAAACCAAGCCTTATACGAAATCTACATCGTCTTATACGTGCTCCAGTTTTCAAACACTTTGAAACAGGAGAAATAGGCCTGAAATTACATAATTTAGTTGAATCAGATTTCACATTTTCTCGCGCTTACCACAATAAAGATCCCAACCATGTTGGGAATGTCGACTTTTGAGAGTTCCTTCCACTATGGTTTTACTCATCTTAACAATTTGCGTCACCATTA